CCACTTGAAACTTTATGTCTTTTCATAAGCCCTACGTATATAGGCCAAAAGGTCATTAGTTTCTTTCTTGTGTGGTTTTAGATCGTGTTGAATTCCATGCACCGCTACCAACCTCGAATCCATCTCATCAAGTGGAGGGAACATGGAGGTCCCATCACCGACCTTGAGGCTGAGGAGTATCGCACGTATATATTTCCAGAGTCCGTCTTCACAGCAGTGACGGCGTACCAGAATCAGCTGGTGAGTACTGGCTGGATATTTGATTAGATCGGCACAAAGTTATGAAACGTATGAAATTATTAGAACGTAGTTTAAGGTTAATAATTTGAACAGATACTCCGATGTGTAGAAACCGAATTCTCACCTGTTATAAATAAACAGTAATCTACAGTTTTCATAATCTTATAACCCTGTTTAGAGGTTATGTTTTGCATTTTTATACTTTATTCTCAAAATTCTTTTATAATTTACGTTTTAGTACCCATAATCGTCTCTAATTTATCCGTACAGGAAGATGGACTACGGAAAAGTATGTTACAATATGTTATAGTAAAACCACGAAACATATTTCTAGTAAAATAAGGAAACCTCCAAACCTAGCATTCCCCAGCAAGAATTAGAAATTATTGCAAGTGTTTTCGAAAGCCTAATTAATGGTGTGTAGCTACTTTTGAATTCCCCTGTATTTACTTTTCTGTTCAGTAAGCCTGGCTGTTAACATATCTTTATTAATTAATACCAGTAATTCTTTCTGGCGTTAGTCGTTAGGAAGAAATGTCTCATATTTACTGTACAGATTTTATTTAGTCAGCTGATATAGAATATCCGTCAAAAATTTTAATGCCAGACTCATTAATATTCACCGAACCTAACCTAATCTAATCAAACCTAATCTTACGTAGACTTGTGTAACGTAACCTAATATAGCATGTTATATTTGTCCGATTAAAATTGTTGTTACTTATTATGCAACCCTTGCATTTCGTAAGAATGTTCATTAATGTAGGTGTGGGCCTAGGCTTTTAAATAAATGATTCATAGCCATTCTCTCTCTCTCTGAGTATCTCAGTACACAGACACACACAGCGAGAAATGTGAAGGGATTGAACATGGTTCTTTCAAGCTCTCTTAGCTTTCTGCTAAGAAAGTGTTTAATAGAAAGACCGATTTTATTAAAGTTTCTTAGGTCTGTCATTAACTTTACTAATGAAATAAAATTAGAGCTAAATTTCCTGGAGATTATAGATCGCGAAGCTAGCAGATAAGACTGAAACTACTAAAAATATGTGTCATTATTTGTGATAAAAGGGATGTCTGCTGTTCACTAGATATAATTATTCAAGATCGGCGAGAAACAGCTGTAACTGATATGTTATTAGAAATTGCAGCAATAGTCTTCCAATTTTTATTAATTTTTTAACGACAGTTGTAGTAATTTCTAGTTATTATTAGGGAAGACTACTTTTGTCTGTTACTGTACTAAGGATTTATAGTTTTACTAGTGATGACTTATATTAGACGTGGACCTTCTTGTCACAGAATCATTAAACATTATGCCAACTCAGTAGTAGGATTCTGCTATTGTTTTTCTAACTCGGGTATGATTTGAATGGAATAAATTCATTTACATGTCAGAGGTTTTAGCCAACATTTTGTCTGGAGAAATCTAAATTCTGTCTTTAGTTCCTCGCACTAAACTGTACGATTTTTATTGCAGATTACGAAGCTGAAAATCGACAGCAATCCTTTTGCAAAGGGCTTCAGAGACTCTTCCCGTCTGACAGACTTTGACCGGTGAGTTACATTCACTTGACTTTTCTTTTATTAAGCTAAGATTATCAAACTCTATCGCTAATTGTACCTTTTATCTTCAGCTCTCAGCCTCAACTTACCTCTTGCCTGTTTTGATTCAGAATAAATTCCGAAACAACGAATCCTTAGGACTCGTTGGACTGGGGATCGAACCAGTACGAGACCTTTACCTACATTAGACACATTTTATCGCGTAGAGAATCGAACCTGAGACAAGAGTGTTTTAAGGGTTAAGGACCGATCGGCCACTGCAAGCGGCTGTTTATCTGTTTATAAACATGTTATTTATAATATTATTTTATTTTAATAATTGGACATATTTATCTTAAGTTCCGTTTTGTCTTGCGAGAAAATCACTGGAAATATAGAAAATTTTCATCAACCTTAAATAATAATTTGCGGTATTTACAAAGCCGGTCTTTAATTGTTTATTTTGGACATTCTTTGTTTTTAGATAACATTCTACTGTGTAGATCATTAAACGTTTATTTCCCGAAAATAAGAAAAAATAGTAGTCCAGTACAGGCTCCGGGCTACCTGACTAGGTTTCCATCTGTACGTCCAAATGGTTTCTGGGTCCATCCAACTTTTTGTTAAATATGCGCTGAAAAAAGTTGAAAAATCTTAAAATCGTGGAGTTACCATTCACACCCGCATATGTCGAGATCTATGATCCATGGAGATTCACGCTAAGTTCCTTATACTTATTAAATGTGTTGTTGTTGGGTACAAATTAATATTTTACGCCAATATTTTAACCATAATACCTCATACGTTCCTTTTACCCGTATATAGGTACAGGAGGCATGAAAATACAGATCAGTTTGATAGTTTTTGCTTCACATGTTTTAGGTTTCCCCAGCCTGTTAACACGAAACACTGGTTAGGCCAATTTTCCTTGTTGAATAATCATATCGGATAACTAAACGAATCACAGATAATTACTACCTACTTTCCGACTGAAATCCTTCGTGCGCCGTTATTCGCCGGAAGACATGTGGAAAAAGGATGAGGTCCAGCCAGATCATCATTTGGTCAGACATTCTGCATTCATCAGATAATCTACTGAAAAATAAAATGAGATAGACCTACAATGTGGCATCATATTAGCCTTTTATAGACTTTAAGAAATCTTATAAAACCATTTATGATAGTAGTATGATGAAACATTCTGATTGTATCAGTTATAGTCACGACATTAAATAGGCTAATTAAATTGTGTCTGAAAGAAACATTTAATAAGCTCCGTATAGTAAACTTTTTTTCTGATATATTTCCTGTTCAGAATCATACAAACTAAGAAAATGCTTTGACATCATGTACTCTTAATTTTACTTTTGAATACGTCTTCAAGAAAGTCCAGTAGTACAGAAGAAAAGGAATTTGATGGGATATAAGTTTCTGTACTATATTCAAGATAATTTATTAACAAATTAGTGTGACGATTTGTTGATTAAATATGTCAGTATCTAAACAGACGTCATTTGTAACTGACGAACGTGTAGCAGAGGGTGAACTGTATACAAAGATCTGAAATGATAAGTGTGAAAAAGATTGAAACATTTTCAAATAAGGAAGGACAACATTCAAGCAATTACAGAGACAGGAGAATAAATCTTATCTAGGCTATGTGGCGCCTCCTAGAACATAAGTTATGCATGCAAATGTAAATGATCTATCTAAAGCATTGGCATAGCTGTAATACATTTGATAAAAGAAATTATTGTAACAGCTGAACTAAAAACTTGTTTCGCTCATGAATTGGAGGAAAATTTAATATTATTTCTCACTAAAGTAAAATATATCATTAAAATACTGACAATAGATCAAAATGAAAAGACTGTACTACCCATGCATCTAAGCTTTTATGGCTTGTGAAAATACGTAGTCCACATGTTGGTTGAATATAAAGTTTTGAATACAGAGAAATTTACATAACTTCTAAGTGCTAGCGCGTTAGTTTTTATTTGTAAAAGTAATGAATCTTGTTTTATTAGCATCATAATATCAAGTTTCATGATGTTAGGTGTTTACCAGCCGCGTACTGAATGAACGTCTGAATGATTTAAAGGATGAAATCCCTGATGATGGAGGCAGTAATCTGTTACGAAACGTCGGTCACTATATACGTGACTGTATGGCGCTACGTCCTAGAAGAATACATATCTCTTGTCGCCGTGAGAACCAAAAATTTTAGAGCGATTAATCGAAAAGTCTGAGAATTTTGATAAAAAAGAATGTCAGTAAGTAGATTACGTTAGAATAACTATGGAATGTACAGACTTAAAGACTAAGCAGACACATGAAGGAGTAAATCAAATTTGCTTTCAGTTTAGCGTAATAATGAAAAGTTATGGCATAGATGGTAATGCACGTTACCAATAAAAGCCAACTGCAGTCCCCAAGCGAGGGGACACGGAATTTAAAGGTATCTGAAGTCATTAAAACACTGTGTAATTATTTTGTGTGTTCAACTTCATATCGGGTGAAAACTTGTGAAAACCGAAACTGAATGAAAATTATTCCTTGTAGAAATTTCAATTCATTAACATTCATAAACAAATTAGAGATCAATTAGACGTTACACTTATTTATTTGTAGTGTTCTGTCTGAGGGCAGGTCCATATGAACAGGATCCTTCCCTCCTTTTCTCGGACTGGGACCTGTTCATATACGTTCTTGGCAGATGATCCAGAAGTGGTTTGCCATTGCCTTCTTCTGTGTGTGAATGGAGTAATTGTTAATCTACAGCATTGTATAATTGTAACTAATAAATATTTTGAAAAATATTGGCGAGATTCAAATGTTTGAGAGCGACGGCAACAGCTCAGAACCGCGTTCACGGAAGACATTAATTTTACCGAAACGTGGTCTCGCACATTAACAGAAGAACATTCTAGAACGAAGGCGTTTGATAATAGGCTTGTTGAGGAGGATTTTTAAACCTGAGAGAGGAAGTAACTTTAATTGCATAATTACGAGATTCATAATTTGTAGGCATATTATTTATGGTCTGTTAATTGTTGTGATTATTATTACGATATAATCAGGGAGAATGAGATGGGCGGGATTTGTGGCGCAAATGGGAAAAATTAAAATTCCGTGCCGGGTTTTTAGTCGAGATGCCTGGAGATAATGGACTACACGGAAGACCTGGGCATAGATGGAAGAATAATACGAGTAACAAAAATTTATCTTAGAGAAATGCGGTTGGACACTGTGGATTATATTTATCTGGTTTAGGGCAGGGACCGCTGACGGGCTGTTGTGAACACGACAATGAACATTTTTATTCCGCATATGGCGGAAAATTTGATGATTATTGCCCTCTCAAGAAGTTTGCTCCGCGAAGTTGTTTACCAAATTGGTTAACTGATAATCCCCTCGAGGTTCTAACAATATTTCTTCTAAATACAAGTTCATTACCACTACACCAGTCTGCTGGATAATTGCGAGAATATTTGTTAAACGTAAGAAAATTGTATTTGTTACTATTTCCTGTATTTACTTTGTTAGTGGGTGAAAATTTAGTAGCTGTAAGTAGTTAAGTAGACGTCAAAGAACATGTAGTTTCCTGAAGTGCATGCTTGAATACCAATGTTTAAATCGTGAATAAGACAGTACCCTCCGCCTCTAAAATAAGTTGAATGCGTATATAGGCCTATGTTTTATTGGTTAAAGTTTGTTCCTAAAGAAATGTTTTAATTTATGAATCTCCCCAACGACTTTTATTATTATTATTTCTAAGGTTTGGAAAACCCTGAATTTATGTACCGGATTCACGTTTTCAATATCAAGCACGAATATCAATGTAACCCTCTGAGACTTAAGTCCGTATAAACAACATTTAAGAATTCAGTCCTCACTTCAAACAAAAAGAAACATGCTTCAAAATTACAAACATCGGCTGAACACTGTGGAACGAAACACTCTCTACTTGCATTGAAAATCACACGAAACTCACTAGTACAAAATGCAGCGTTATGGTTAGTTAAACACGAGGTACATATAGTTACCACTGGGCTTTAAGCCGTTGTAGTAGACGTAACCGAATTGCATGCTACAAGGTCACAGAAAACCTCTTGCAGCTCGGCTCCAATTCAGTGGACAGCTTTGTTACGATGCGAGTTCTGAGCTGTCTTCATTAGCCTTGGCTCTGATGTTTGCGTTACGACGTTGGCCTTCCTGTGCCCTTGAAGCATGCAATTTCATGATGGATTCCTCAACTTCATTTTAGAGTTAAAGGAAGTGAAATGACTACTACGTACATTACAGATCTTAATCTAGATATTTTTATTCCACATTCTTTATTTAATATTAAAACATGGACTTGCAGTGCTAAAATATCAGTGTGTCTGTGTTTCTGGATTCAAGTGATAGACGTCTAAGAACATCATGTAAATAGAAACCAACTTACCTTTGTAACTTGTTGTTTATTACAAGATTAAAATTACGAAGATGGGATTAACTAATTGCATTGTTTTAATACTGAGATTAGCTAAATTTGGTAAATTAATGTTTATAGAAGCCTTTTAATGTTTATAGTTGAATAAAAGGGCGGACGGATGGACGAACAAAGATATGTAGCCTGATAATACGAGCTCAAAGAAGAATTTAGAAAAGGTGGCCAGGTATATCACTGACTGAAGTATTCGTTTTAATCTACAGGTTTTCTTAAGGTATAATTACCTATTTAGGTTACTGGGATTATGCAAATTTTGTTTACGACATTCTTCGTGGTAAATTAATTGCTTTGAGACGAATATAAAAACTTATTAAAAACAATATTTTAAAACATCTTTTTGTACACAATATCTGTAGTCTTTCCAACTAGGATGAGAATATTTAACGTGTACGAACTACATTTACTCAGTACGGTACTTTATGACATCAATCTTCTAAATTCTTCTTTAATTTCGTGGAGCAGAGTCATTATTTACAAGCTGACAGTCGCTCAACCAGAAAGAAACCCCACTCCTTTA